ATCAGTCGTCCTGATATTATGATAAAGTTCTGGCAAATAAAGCTACAAGTAAATTTAATTAAACTCCCATCATTGTTTAGAACATTACGAAACTGGAAAGGTTTCAAGGCAGCGATATTTGTTTTCATAGCTATGTGGGAGTCCCCTTTCTGGCAGACCCCTTTTGAATAATTAGTAATGCTCCTCAAGGATGTACCTGCATAATGCGCTTTCTCTTTCATTCCACCAAGTGTGAGGGCGGGCACTGTTTAACCTGAGCAGTATTTGAAATAAATCACAAGCATTGAAATGACATCTAAACTATTCCAAAGGAAAGGCTAATTATGAATTCCCGGAAAAAGAGCAGTGTGTTGGAGTTCAACAGCGCCTTTCATCTCAACAGCTTACGCATGGCAGTGAACTTGAGTCTCACATCTTTGAATAGGAAGACAGCCCCATAAACAGCCTCTGATTTACCCTTATGTTTTGAAGGAAAAAATTCCTCTAATAAACAAGCTGAAGAATCCCCGCATGAAATGGAACAAAAATAATAATAATAGTTTATTGTACATTAAGCTCTTCTGTTCCAGTATTTCTGACCCAGCCTGTTTTTTCCAACAAATGTTAGATAAAAGGTAAAAAACAAAACAAAAAACAAAACAAAAAACAACGATTTTCAACATCTCAAGCATCTCAAACAATTTAACTTGCACTTTTCCTTTGCGTCTCAGAAAAATCAACATGTGCTATAAACGAAAATTCAATGCATTCCCCCCCTTTTTTTTGAACCTTCCTTATGGGCCAGGCACTTTATGTATTAGCAATACAAAAATGAGTAAGGCGAGATTTCTTTTTTCAAGAAGTTCACATCAAAGGGAGAACAGACAGTTATTAGATAATAATTAAATGTGAAAGATTTTGTAATTGAGGTGTAAAAAAGTTTTTGAACAAGTTTTGATATTCTCAAAACTATTTTGCAAGAGACAATTGTTTTACTCTTTACACACATAGAGGATTAGTTTGCATGGAGAAAATAATTACTTTTGCAAAGAGTACTCAATCTCAATTCAATTTTTTGACCCTCTAAACTTCAAGAGGCAAATTCATCAAGAAAATACGACAGCAGAGATATTTTCACTTTGTAAAAAATGAATGTAATCTCATTTCTCCCTTTCTTCTCAATATTATCTTTCCATAACTTACATAGTCTTTGCTTATATGCATAAACATTCTTCCTGACGTTTCTTCTAATCAAATCCTCTTCAAAGCCAGTCTTCTATAAGAAATCTAAGAGAGAGCTTGTCCATGGGTATCTCTGTCTACTTCATGATTGACAGTTGGTTGCTTCTAATAAATATGTGGCATTTAACCACAGCTGTCTTTGTCAGCTGGATTGTCAAAGAAAGAAAAAGGGCTTGGGGGTTCCTTATACAGTGATGAGGGAAGAAACTCATGTTGATAAGGACAAAGATGATGACGATGATGACAATAATGGCAGCATTATGGGTAAACATTTATTAGCATTGTTTCATCAATCCTCAGCCCTGATGAGATGTGTAATGCTATTGTCTCCATTTTACAGATGAGAAAACTGAGTCTCAGAGTTTTTAAAGTGTGTTACCTGTTCATAAAATTTGCAGGTAGCACAGCCAGGATTCAAACTTAGATTTGACTGGCCTCAGTGCGTGTTCTTAATTACGTTGCTATTTGCATTGATATTAAAAGGTGCCAACAGTTGGAAGCAATTTATAAAAGGTCCTGATCAATTTAACGGGCTCATCTATTTGTCTCTGATAGGGAACCAGCTCTTTGATGTAAGTGAGGAGACTTACCCGGTTCTGAACGCTGATGATTATTTCCAGACTTAAGTAATTTTGTAGCTAGAAGAAATCTTACCAGTCACATGCCTCTAACTTCTTACTTGAAGGGTGAAGAAAGTAGGACTCAGAGAGAGTCTCAGTGACCAGCCATGGCCAGCTGTCCTGTTCATATTTCAGTGTTCTGTCATCCCAAGCTGAAATTTTCCTCACCCTAGAAATGGGCTTATGAGAGTGAAAACTAACTCTTTACAACTCAGTGGCATACTGATGAAAATGACAGATAATAGATTGATCGGTCAATAGATGTGTGTATGTGTAAACATCCTCTTTGGGATGTTTGAGATCTCTGAGTCCTTTGGCCTTAAATTTAAATTGTCCCCCAAAGTTTAGTATTTATTGGTGTTACTTTGTATAGTGTCTCATCTCTCTTGCTCTATTAGTTTGTCTGCTTTTAACATTCTCTTTCTCACCCGATTTGCTATTGCAAATAGTGGAAAGCAGACAATCAAGTGTGTTAAAACCATGCTTAATATAAAAATAAATAGACTCCAAGTGAATGTGTAAGGAAACTTCATTAAGTAAGATGGATGTGTTTGTATATATGCATGTATGTATTTATATTTTTTAAAGATTTATTTATTTGAGAGAGAGAAGAAGCGGGAGGGGCAAAAGGAGAGGGAGAAAGAGTCCCAAGCAGACTGCTCTGAGCATGTAGCCCAATGCGAGGCTCGATACCATAACCGTGAGATCACAACACGAGCCAAAACCAAGAGTCGGATGCCTAACCAACTGTGCCACCCACGCACCCCAAGGATGTGTTTTTATATGTGGCCTTTGGGACTGATTTCAACTTTTAGAAACCAGATCGTTTTTGTCTTTGTCTTTGCTTTTGTTTTTATTTTGTTGTTTTGTTTGTTTTTTGCTCACTCTAGGCCATGGTAAAGTTCACAGATAAATCATATCTAAATAAAGATAAAAACACCTGACTACATTTCAGTGATCACATTTCCAGTTTAGAACACAAATCCTCTTTTTACATGGGAGTTTATCTTTTTTTCTATTATGGAAATTATGACTCAGAAAGATTAAAACTTTTAAAATACAACCACAAAGCTCACTCTCAGTTCCCAGATTCCTGATCTCGTTCCTTCGGGATCCAATGAACTGAGAGGTGGTGGGATTGCAGAGAAAACACCTCTCTCTACTCATAGCAACAAACCTTAATTGAGTCCCAACCAGAGGTGATTGCTGCCACATCCTGGGATGTGGAGGTATGAAGGGGCATCAGAGAGGTTTCCCCATTTGTCTAATCTGACTTGGTTTAAACTGTTAAACTCATAATCCAAGAGTCTGCAGGCTGCCTCTAGACAAGGCCAAGCAGCTTTTCTTCATTCCTGGACACTGTGTCAGGTGAATGAAGGGCAAAGAGTAACAAAACAAAAAATCAGAAAAGTATGACTATTTTCATGTTTCTATACTTAGAGAAGATGTGTTTATTACATGAAAAGATTTAGCTATTATTGGGATCTTTGGAGGGCCAATAAAAAAAAACAAAAAAAAAACCTTCTTTTTCTGAATTCCAAACCAGCTGAGAATTACAACCAAAGCGTAAGGCAGAAAGGGGTCATAGTATCACCTGAATTGCTGATAAAGCTATTATCGAAGAATGTTTGCACAAACATAAACTTTAATCCTGAAACTCAATCCTGATCAGTTGTACTCACTCACTAGGGCAGGCCTAACACACCAGCAGAATTGGACGTGGGCTTCTCCATGGAAGGAGGATGGGCCCATGACCAATTCCGATTTCTCATTCCCAACTCTTCCACCTGATAAGTCAGCCTAGTTTCCCTGGAGTGGCAGGTGTGAGGGGCAGAAAGAGGCAGGGGAGTGAGACAATCAGTGGTGCTCCCTCTACATAAAAACCAAAAAACAAAACAAAAAAACCCAAAAACATGAGGAGTGGGGAATAAACATCCCTAAGCATTGGGGGTATGTGTGTGTGTGGACATTTGAAGTCCAAGGTTTATTGTCTATGTATGCTGCTTTATATATGTTGTATCATTTAACCTTAAAATACTTTACCCCCCGCCCAGCCCCAGCCCTACCCTTCAAACATTGTGAAGGAGTTACTATAAATATTATTATCACCACTTAAAGATGAGGAAGTGGCCTCAGGGAGGTTGCGTACCTTGCTCAGAAGTAAACACGGATGGTCACAAGAAGAGCAGAGTCCCATGCAGACCTATCTGACTCAGAAACCCATTCTCCCCACATCTCCAGTTTCTGGTGAACAGTTTCTCATGTGAATACATCTGAAAATACTTATCCAGGCAAGTGAGATTTCTTAGTTGAAAACCATTCTGAATCTGTGTTGATGGGAATTTGGTAATTCACTGATATAAAGTTTAGACTGTGATTTTGTTAACTTTTTTTTGGAATAATTTTAAACTTACAGAAAAGATGCAAAAATAGTTCAGAGAATTCCCGGATGCCCTTACACGGCTTCCCGTAACGTAAACATCTTCTAGAATCCTAGCAAAATTACCAAAACCAGGAGATTGATACTGGTACAGCACGATTGGATACACTACAAACCTTACTCAAATTTTACCATTGTTTTCAATATTGACTGCGACTTCTTTTGAGGACAGCAACTGTATTATATTCGTTTTCATATCCACAGTGCCCATGGGCAAGTCTGGTCTGGAGTCGGTGATCAGTAGCTGTTTGTGGAATGAGTAAATGAGTGAATCGATGTTGAGCTCCATAATACAACTTCCGTGTGTTTGTGTGTATATGAGCACCCCAGATATAAACACGCAGGGATTATGATCTGAGTGAATGTTATTCAGATCTAAATTCCACATTAGGCTTTTTATAGTTCTTTAAAACTGAAAACTTTTCAAAAGCAAAAGAGAGTGTACTAACCAGATTGAAACAGATACAGCAGAATTCACCAAATGGGCAGAAAGCTAGAATGCTACATTCATTTTATCATGAGTGTGTGTGTATGTTACTGTTTTCTCCATCATCTTTTAACCAAACTAAAAATATTAATGTGACAAAGTGTAGAAAGGCAAGGATATGACATTACACTTGGTTGGGCAAGATTGGTATAAAAAGTTGTTATAAGAACTGATTTTTCTGAAAAAAGTGCAACTTTTAAAAGGTTTTAATTATTTTGTTATTGTTATTTAGATGGAAGACGTCATAGCACGCATGCAAGATGAAAAAAACGGAATTCCTATTCGTACTGTCAAAAGCTTTCTTTCCAAGATACCTAGCGTCTTCTCTGGTAAGTGTGCATTCGGTGCTGCACTGTTTTCTCCAGCACCTTCGACATAACCATTTAAAATCAATTCTAGCCACTCAGTATTGAAACTCTCTCTCTAACTCTTATGAAATACCCATGCCATGCTCCACATCATGTTGGACCCTTGGAGTGATAGTAAAACAAAACAAAAAAGCAAAAATCATGACCTTACTTTGCTCTGGGTCAGTTTCAAAGACATAATGAACAATGTGAAATAACAGAAGATGATCTTAAAGATGTATGAAACAATGTGGAATAGGTTATATATAAAAATTAGGAGGATGAGGGGTGCCTGGGTGGCTCAGTGGGTTAAGCGTCCGACTTTGGTCTCAGCTCAGGTCTTGATCTCAGGGTCATGTGTTTAAGCCCTACTTAAAAAAAAAAATTAGGAGGGTGAAGAGCATCAGTCAGGAAGGTGTTCCTGAACAGCAGTGATGAACTGAGTTTGCAAAGTAAGGAGTCCAATCCACTTCAAGACCACCAGCTGTGTGTGCAGAACTGGAGGTGACCAGGGTAAGGATGTGTAGAGACAGAGATGTGCAGAGAGGCTGAAACAGACAGACTTGGGTCGGAGGATGAGGGTCTTTGAAAGTCAACCCAAGAGTCTAATTCTGACGTATGGAGAATATGGAGATCCTTCATGCTCTCGCAGAGTGCATTATGATGAAGGTGCTCAGGGCAAATTGGTGTTCAGTGAGGGCCATTGTCACCATGGTAGGTCCAAGTCCTGTGTAGAATAGTTTGGGTGCCAACATTCTGATTATCTGGGATAGAGGGGAAAACATGAGCATCTGTTAAGTAACTGGGCATATGGGCTATAAGAGGACATAACCCAATGGAGTTTGGTTTTGTTTTTTAATTGGGTGACTGTGCAACTAAGGAATCATTAGCAGAAATAGGGAAACCCCACAGTTTGATTGGAAGTAACTGGAGAAACTCTAGAGAAAATGGTGGTGATAAGTTAGAAATCTGTGCTCCAGCTCCCCGAGACTGGGGATGCCCAAGCTGTGGGACTTAGGCATGCTGGGCCTGGGCTAGTGTGGCATGGAGAAGAAGCAGAATCAGACAGAGCCTTCACAGCGAGTCGGCAGGGTGAGGAGGCTGGGCGGAGCCTGTGGAGGAGGTGTTTGATGGGGTTCCTGAGCAAGGGTTCGTGGTGCTTCCTCGTGAACAAGAGTCGAAAGAAGAGCAGTGGTCAGCAGGCCTTCAGCCTCGGAGAGAGGGTACGAATTAGGACCACAGTACAAGCAGGCAGGCCCAGATGTTGGTGCTTGGTGGCTGCATTGCTCTTTGATGAATGGGAGAGAGAACAAGGACCAGACAAACGCTGCCAAATGTCCTCCCAAAATACGCCCTCTTTTTCCTGTTACTTCCTTTCATGCCCGCCTTGTTCCAGTTTCTTGCTCTTCTCAGATGATGGCCTGTATTTTCTCGCATCTGGGGCTTTTTTACTCCATCTTTGCCCTTCTCACTGACTCACTTCCTGACTTTCAGGTCATTTCGACTATGACATTCTGTCCATTCTTTAACAGCTAGTTCAGAGAGCTCTTCAGAGAAAACTATCCTGAGCCTTCATTCTCTGCGCTCTCAAAAAAACTCGTTTTTTGCTTCTCTAATAGCATTTATTATGGCCTACTTTGTCTTACAGATATTTTTGTATAATGTCCCATATCCCCTAGGAAATAGTAAGTTCCTTGGAGTCAGCGACAGCGACGTAGAGAGTTAACTTTGTATCTAAACACAAATATGAAAATTACTCCTATTTTGATGACTAGTGAGAGAACTTAGCTCCTTAGATACTCTAACGCAGAGGTTGCAAACTGAAATGCAGTCAGAATCCAGGCAGATAAATGCTGTGAGTTACCCACCCGTCTGCCCTGGGAACTGTGTTCAGGTCAGCAGTGCATGGCCTGTGTGAAGGCGTGGCAGTTCAGGAATTTTTAATGACAATATCCATAAACAAAAATGGCTGAACAAAAAGAGTTTAGCTCCTCAGATTAAGCCGGGCTGCAAGTTTGAGTTATCTGCTCTCATGGTAAATCTAAAATTTTTGGTTGAGTTCTTCAAGTAGCAATATCTTATACATTTTCCATACAGTTCCATAAAATTTCATACAGTTCCGACGTAGCATCCTCCTGGAAGAACGTTTGATTGACAATATTAAGATCTTAATTAAAAGGTAAGATTGGACATATAGACAGAGAATGAACAATGAGGCTTGTTTTAATGTTCATTAACATAAAACAACAATGGTAGTTACTACGTAGAGACAATTATCAATAACAGTTTCATATTAATGGAATTAGTTTCTAATTATCATTCTGTGTTTCCTAGAAACTTTCATGAGCCCTGCCTCACAGGTTTAATTATCTGTTTTGCTGTAGATTTCATTGACATAATAGTATTAACCAACCTCTTTGTCGTAATATTCCCAAATTATAATGGTCTGAAGCCCCGTCTACTTCACTAGCAGTTTTTGGTCTTTTGTAGTAATTTTCCTCCCCTGATATTTCTTACAGTGATTTGGGGTTAATCCCTGTGTTCTTTTGTGGTCCCACTTACCACCTGCTGCTTGCTCTCTTGCCTCTCAGTCTCTCCACCCCCCCCCCCCAGGCGTGCCTCATGTCCTAAAAAAATAATGGATCTGCTAACGTCACGCCCCTTAGCAGAACCAGAAACCAGTTGTGCTGAATGAGTGATGTCATGTGTGAGAGGAGGGTGGTGTGATTGTCGGGAGTCTGTCTTGTTGTGGACTGTTCACAGGGGAAAAGGGTCTCTAGTATGGTGAATCCAGCTCTTTCCGGTTACCCACTGATGCTCCAATAAAGTCTTGGTGCTCAAAATATGGTCCATGGACCAGTCGTATCAGCTGCGTCTGGAAATCTATTAGAAACATAATATGTGGGCCCACTCCAGACCCTCTAAATCAGAACCCCAATTTTAACAAAGCCTAAGAATAGGGCAGCAGTGCTGGACTGGGTTCCAGGTCAACACCTGTGTTTTACCCAGGGCACTGGGTGCAGTGGCCAACTTGCTTGTGCTGATCTTTCTAGGGCTTTCAGGGGCTCTGATTATTATTATTATTATTGTTGTTGTTTTTTAAAATTTTTTATTTTCTACAATCTGGCCTCAATCAAGGCTATCCCAGGCCATTAAATGTTATTTGCTGTTGTGTTTGTTTTGCTTGTGGGAAGGAGGAGGGATTAGGAAGAAGAATCTAGTTCCTTTACTCCCCACCCAAGAACCTCCTGAGCATCTCAGATTGTTGGATGTTAAGAGCCATGTGGAGGGATGGGCACTATCCAGTGACACCTGACTGCACCTATGCATAATATACATGTCATGATGGCCAAGTGATGCCCCACCTGCCCCTAGTGAGAATATGTTGAGAAAGTGATCATGCAGTCCTATCCTCTCACAACATCTGAGATCCAGACCCTGATCATGCCAAAGAATCTTATTACACAGATAATATAACTGTGATTTGGGCTTTTGGGTTTTTGTTTCTTTGCTTTACCCCCTCCTGATAAACGCATTTCTTCCAGCTAAACATCCAAGCTTTTTTTTAATTATTTAAGTCTTAGAACGGATAATTTCGGCCTCCTGGTTTCTGTGGTGCCGAGATGAGGGGAAAAGTCTTTGAATGAATCCCCCATGCTGATCCTTGAACTGTGGGGTAGGACATATTTTTGGGTGGATCCGATCACATTGTTTCTCCCCCAAATTACCTTCTCACCTGCAGAAGTAGCTTGGGCAGTTCTGATGGTGGCATGTGCCTGGACCCCTCCCGTTTAGAGGATGAGCTCAGTGGCAAATGCTGACCAGAGCCTGGCCTGTCAGTTCTCTTTCCTGGGATTCTTCTGTTGAGTTTCCAAAACTTCCATTCAGTGTGTGTGTGTATGTCCGGCACTGAGATGACGTAAAGCTGAGGACTGGATAATGGGCAGGTGCAGAGAAAAGCAAAGCAAGCCTGTCTGCAGATTGAGAGCAATGGGAGAAAAGAAGCCGAGAAGATGAGGCAGAAAGTCCTGGGTTTGGTGGCTTTGCAGCCCTTGTCCCAGTCTTCTGGGACACAGTGCTGCAACCTCACATACTTCCTATGGTATTGCACATCCCCCCTGCCACACACACGCCATAAAACCTCTACCTTTTGTTTTGCTGTACGCTTCACTTCCCTTTTCTGTTTCAGACTTTTCCTGCATCTGAAACAGATTCAGTCGGGTTCTTAGGAGCCCAAATTTCCAAACTGCAGATGTTTAGGAATGAACTGTAACCAGGGAATCAGTATTTCTAAGCTGAAAAAATATGTATATATAGGATTGGTGTCTTCTAGTCTTGGAGGCCCAATAACTATATTTTTCTTCAGGATTTTTATTTCAGTTCAACAAACAGTGATCAAATACCCACTGTTTTATCTACTATACCGGGTTTTGAGGGCTAATATTTTAATATTAGTGGGAAATAGACATATTGCATATATGTTGGTGCTCAATGTTCAAGTAAGTACAATCAACTGAGGTGAGTTCTCTTCACAGGGGTTAAAAAAATCAGTTGTGGGAGCAAAACTGCTTAACTGCCTTCATTTTATAATTGGATCTTCAACCAAGAACCCTAACTACATGTCCTTGATTGCCAAAAGAAATACCTTTATGAGGCTTGGGTATAATGATACAGAAGCCTTTAAAGTAGGCAGAGAAATGATTATTTACATATTACTTTGTTAACTTTTGCAAAATATAAATCGAGGACATTTACATCAGGTTCATTAAATTGCTTATGAGAGGACCCATGGCATATACTTCTTCTATAATAAATACTAAGAAAATTGTCTCTGACTTTTTTCCCTTTTTTAAAAAACAGTAAGAAATGTGTAACCTGTATTTTCCTTTTCCTAGTTTCTAGGAAGCTCATTTGCTAAATTGAACATTTTATTAGTACTTTCTCACCTGACTCCTCACTGATGTATTACTTTCTTTTTTTCT